CGCCCGCCCTGCCGCTCCGCTCCGCCCCGGCCGGCGGGCTGCTGCGGGCCGCCCTTTACCGAGACATGACCGCCATCATTAGGAAATATACACCTTATGCAAATCAGCACCGGCTTAGGCCTCTCCTCCGGCCGCCGCCCGGGTCTCCGCGCCCCCGGCCCGGCCCAGCGAAGGGCGGACTTTGCCCGCGGTCGCCGGGACGCCCCGGAGGGACGGGACGGGACGGGACGGCTCTACCGAGAGCTGGAGCCCCGGCTGCCGTCGGGGGGGGACACCCTCGGCCCAGGGGACGCGCTCACCCCTCCGGTGCCACGGGCATCCCCCCGTCCTGCGTCCCCCCGACAGCCCCGGGTACCCCTCTGCCCCCCCGCCGCGGTGGGTTTAGCTCCCTCGGGGACCGTGCCCCTCGCTGAAAGGGGGCCGAGGTGAGAAAACTCCTCGCGGGGGGAGTTTTCGCATCCCCCACCCAGCCCCGGCACGGAGCGGGGTACAAGCTGCGAGGCTCCAGGCCCCCGGGGAGAGCGGCCACAGTGAGGGGCTCGGCCCCCGCTGCGGGGCGGCTTTGGGGACAGGCTCGCCGCAACTTAGCCATGCGCGGCGTGGAAGGACTGTCGGCACGTCGGCAAAGGGGACACGAAGCCCCCGTTGAACCTTGGCAGCCCTCAGGGGTGGGAGCGGGGAACGGGGTTGGAAGCGAGCGGGAGAAGAGATCCAAGCAGGGCTCTGGGATCTGAACAAAACCTGCTATTCCTAACGCCGTAAATGCACCGAGTCCCAAAGATTCCCAACGAATTCACTTAAATCAAAGCAGGCGCGAATACAAGAGGCACCGCCACACCCAGAGCACAGGGCAGAGGGGCCTGGGACCCTGCGGGGGAAGGCAGGGCCGGTGTCCGAAATCTCTGGTCATGAGCCCCCCAGCCTCCCAAGTGCTTTCAGTTTGGTAGCCCAGTCCTCTGCTGCTTTTGGCTGGCACCCAGACGTCAGCCCTGGCAAAGGACAATACCATTAAACCCAGCATTTCCAGTCCAGATTCGGACTTTTACAGGGTACCCAGTTGTAGCTGCCTGCCCATCTCAAAAGATCCCAGATAAATCCTGCCGGCCACCAGCACCCGTGGCAGACCCTGAGCACTTTACAGCGTGGCCCCAGAGCCCCACGGGAGCCCGGCTTTGGGCCTTTGCCGCTGCTAGCCATGGGTGTCCCCCCCCCCCAGCAAAACGCTCCGGGGAGCTGGCAGCGGTTTGGCTTCCAGCAGAACCGGGCAGAGCAAAGGGAAAAACCCCACAGCTTGCCTGGGAACAGCCTGTGCCCACTGCGTGAGAGCGAACGTGTTGGGAGCTGCGCAGATTGCACACTGCTGCGGAGTCAGATGAAACCATTCCCGCTCCGTGGAGCGGTGCAGGAGCAGCCCGGGCCGGGACGGCAGCGCAGGACCCTCGGAGCTCCCCTGCCCTTTGAGGGACAGGGAGCAGAGCCACGGCCGGGGGTGGGAGGGCAGGGGGTCAAGGGTATCCCAAAGGGAACAGGAACCCTCTCTGCGTGCTCGGGAGGGAGTTTGTGGATGAGCGCACGATGGCCGTGCAGGGCTTTTCACGGGCACGGGGCAGGCTGAGCCCAACCTGTGGAAGAGAGGACTGAAAAATCCTCCAAAGCCCCCTCCTGGCTCCCAGCCCAGCCGAGCATCTTCCCCGGCTCTGCTCCCGCACTCTCAGGGCTGCACAGCCAGGGAGGCGAAGGCAGCTCCCTCGCACCCATCCTGTACTGGGCAAGCCCTTGCTCTGCTGCACTTGCAGCGAGCCCGGGGGGGGGTCCCAGGCTCTGCTGTGCCCGGCACCGGTGGGTTGGTCCTCTCCCGATGCCAGCCCTGCTCAGGTCCGCTCCAACGGAGTTCAGCACCCAAATGTCTATAGAGTGCAGGGACCAGGCTGCTGGGTGAGCGTCCCCCCCTCCACGTGCCCGGCTTTCCCACCTGCGAGGGCAAGCGAGCAGTTCATGCCCACCAGGTCCCTCGCACCTATAGGTGCCCCCATCCTTCACACAGCAGCAGGTCTCTGATCACCCCAAAGCTCCCCTGATCCCAGGTGCCGGGGGGAGATGCCAAACCACCCGCCCGCCTTTGGGGCCGGGGGACCACGCAGAGCCGCTGCCATCCCTGAGCAACACCCCACCGCCAACAGGACGTGGGCTTACACCCGCTGTGCCCCCCCCAGGCTGTCCTCCCACAGCTGCCCCCTTTGCAGGCTCCCGCTCAGGGCAAAACTTTTGGGAGGCTCCGCAGGTGCTGGGCTGAGAACCCAGACCCCCTGGCATGGGCTGCGCCCGCCTGCAGATACCCCCCACTCTGCCGCCAGCCTGGGAACAGCCTGGCTCTTGCTCTGAGAAGGTCCCCTCTCCCTTTCAAGTGGGCTGGTGAGCTTTGGTCTTTGCACAGGCTTCATGGCATCGCATGATAATAATGTTCTGTCACAGTGGGTGACCCGAACCTTGTCCTGTTTCCACACATTTGGAGGCACCTGGCTAATGAAGTGGATATCGTTTTCTGGTCCATCTCTCTCACCCTATTGCTCTTCCCCCTTCCTCCACACCCAGCTCCTCCGAGCGGTGTCAGGAGCCTCACTGCAATCAGCCTTTTCCCATCGTTGTCCGGCACAGCTCATTAACTCCTCTCAGCAGAAGAGCGTGGTCATTACGGCTCGGGGGGCCGATGGGTGCCCCGCGGGGCTGGGAGCACATAGTTTCCCAGCCGGGGGAAGGCACCGGCCCCGTGTGAGCATCAGCCCGAGCTTTCACCAGGAGGTGACCGCGGCTGGGAACGCAGGATGGCTGCACAGGGTTGTGTTTTTTTAAGCTGAACACCCTCTGCCCCCCAGTCCTCCAAACCCACCCCATTTGCAGCCAGCCCACGCCTGTCACGGGAGGGTCTGGGTGCCCGGTGCTGGCCACCGGCTCCCATGGCTGGAGGCGGCCTCTCCTCCCTCTCCCCCATCACTCACGGCACCCAAAAGGCTCCCCGCTACCAAACTAGAAGCCCATCCCCTCACAATCACCGCAAGGGAATAACCGTCCCCGCACGATTGCCTCAGCCGGGCAATCCCTCACAGCCTCCTCCATCACCCACAGAGGGACCGGCAGCGTTTGTCCCAAGCACGGGCAGCAGCTCCCACCCCGGCAACGAAGCGGCCCGTGCTAGCCACCATGGTTAGCCCCGGTGGGGTCAGGCACAGGCAAGGCTGCAGCACGGGGGACTTTGCTCCTGGCACCGTGCGGCTGCGTCTCAGGCAGAGGAAGCCTTCGGGCAGGCAAGGGCACCTGCCTGGGCACCCCCATGTCCCCATCGGGGCAGCCTTGTGCCCACCCTCACCCAGGACAACATGGGGACACAGGAGCCGTGGGACCTGGGGACCCAGGGGGATTTCTCCCGTGAGCTGCCACGGCAGGCCAGGCAGGCACAGCACCGTGATTCGCACAGCGCCAGGGGATTTCTGCCACGGACGCACTTACACATTTCATATATGCTTCTCATTTTTTTTCTTACAGTTTCATTTAACGCCTGAGCGCGTGCAGACACACCACCTCTGACCTCGCGGGCAGTGGGCAAGAGAGTTCCCACCAAAACAGGGCCATTAAATCCCCGCGCTGATATTTTTTCTCCTCTGCCCCCACTTGTGCCAAGATTTTTGCATTCCCTGTCTGCCTCTGCCTCTCCCACACTGAGGTGAGGTAATGTTCTGAGGCCTTCCCCCATCCCCACCTTTATTAAATATGACCCGCGGTTGATCCCCGCGCAGGGCGAAGGGAAGCTGTGGTTTGGGGAGGGATCAGACATGAAAGGGAGAGCTGCCTGCCCCGCACGGGTCTCACTCAGCAGGGCCACGGGGAGCCCTCCGCGCCCCGGCAACCCCAATATTTGCAGCCCTCCAACATCGCAGAGGTGGCGGGGACGGTGGCACGGATGCCGCTTTCACCCTCCAAGGGCGGCTGGGTCTGTTGGCGCTTTGGTTTGGCACGTAAATGCTCTCGCTCCTTGTCTTCTCCCTCCCGGATGATGGACAGAGCCGTGGCTCCCCTCCTGCAGAGTTTTTGGGATGGGGACTCAGTTGTAGGGGTCTGGTGCCCCAGCTCCGGGCTGAGCCCTACTGTCCCTGTCCCCCAGCCACGGCCATCAGCTGTCACCTGTGGTCCCCAGCACAGAGACCCCACCGGCACCAACAGCCCACGGACAGCCTCGTCGCCGGCCGTGCCACGCATCCCGCTCGGCACGAGGCCGTGTCTGGCAGGGGGTCCCGGGGAAGGGACTTGCCCAAAGGGTGAAGAAAAGAAATGACTTTTCTTCCACCCACGTGCCCCCGGCTGGGAGCGCGGTGAGTCCGGGGCGAACCTGGGCTTGGCAGGCAGATGGGGTGAACCGGACTGCCGCGGAGAAAAGATGCTCCCAGGCTGCTCAGGCGCCGAATTTCTCCCCGTCTGGTTTCCACCATGCTCTTGTCTCACCCATCGGGAGCACCCGGGCAGGGCTGGGGCCCTGGGCGGGCTTTGCCGGCAATACTTCTCCCAGCCCACAGCTCCCAGTTTTTCAGCAGAGCATCGGCACTGGGGACATAACGGGGAACCCCGCCGCGTTGCCCTTCCATCTGCGGCAGCCGTGTGGGTGCACCCATGCTGGGGACATCCATCGCCCTGCTTCCATCACCCGGAGCCGGGCAGGAATTCGGGCACACGCAGCCCCAGATGGAGGGGAGACGAGGCAGGAGCCGGGGACGGCACCGCAGGAGGGAGATGGGAGCGCGGGTGCTTGCTGGAAGCTGCCGGGGGGCTGCTGGGACGGGACGGAGGGGTGGGCAGGAGGACACCCGGCAGCGGCGTTTGTCTGTCACTCTGATAATTAATGCTTCTCCCTTACACTTTGCAAATAACTCACGACTCTCTTTGTCTGGTGA